AACTAAGTAATTTAAATTAAATTTTATGCAAAAAAAGAAGAAAAAATTTAGCTTAAAAACTAAATTAAAATTTGGATGTTCTATAGAATAGGTGGGCAAACTTCGCTAAACTTCGCTGAATATATTAAAAATTAATGATTACTAATCATTAGCGAAGCTTATTTCTTATATTGCCCACTTATTCTAGAACATCCTTAAAATTTTGCTAATTTTGCATAATTTTAAGATATAAACTTTGTGAAAAATAATTTTTTTTTTGATTTTAAAGCAATTATTATGTAAAATTATATTCTGAATAACTTTACTTAGAAAGTAAAAATAGGTTATCTTAGTAAAAAATAAGTTAATTATATATTAAAGTTAAAAAATTTTGTATATATATATATATATATACATATATATATATATATAACTTTTTTTTACTAAGTTAATCTATTTTGATTTCTTAAGTAACCTTGTTTAATATAAAATTTTACATATATATATTTGTCAAAAAATATTTTTTTAAACCTTTTATTATATAAAAAATTAGATTAAAATTAAAATTGTAAAGTTTTTTATTTTAGTTCTAATAATAGTAAAATTATCAAAATTGAACTTGTCTTTAGTAAAATATTTGTGTTTAAAAAAATGATCTTAAGAATTTACAAAGTATTATATAAAAATTGTAAATAACTTTTGTATAATACTTACTTTACAGATTCTTAAAATTGTATCTATAGTTACAAATATTTTAAATATTACTTTTATATCATATAAAATTTAGATAGTAATATCATTATATTACTACCTTTTGTTAATTGATATTCTAATATCTATAGTCTTAATTATATCTTGAAACATAAATATTTTACTAAGAATAAGTCTAATTTTAATAATTTTACTATTATTAGAATTAGAAAAGAGAGTTTTAAAACTTTACTTAAGAGTAAAGAAGTCTTTACTTAATAAATTTTTTTTTATTTTTTAAAAAAATATTTTAACTAATAATATTATATAAAATATAGTATTAGATTTTTAACTTAAAAAATATAGTTAAGAAGAGTTTAACTTTGAATTAAGATCTTTTTAAAATTATATTTTTAATATTCTGCAAAAATTTATAAAAAAGAAATATTAAATACTAAAAAATAAAGATTTTATTTTATTAGAGCTTTGTATACTTTTTTTTTTTTTATTTTTATTTTTAAGGTAGCTTACATAGCTAAGTGAATTTTATTAGTTTGATATACAAGGTTCTACATAGGGTTCCCTTACAGTTTGTAATTACATGAAGAGTATATAACAAGTCATATGTACAACTTTAGTCATTGTCTAATTTAAGTAGTACACTATGCAGACGTTAGACCACCTATTAGTACTACACTATGCTGCCATACCTGTAACCTATCTATGAGTTACCTATTTAAATACTTTGTTCAACTAACTATACTGTTACAAACTAATATCACTATAATATCTAACCGCTTAAGCTAGCTAGTTCATTGCAAATCTATTTATTAACTTCAGCTTAGATCCTCTTGAGATGCTTGTACTCAATATATTGTGAGTTTTACAGAGCTCTGGTTAACCTCGAAGCAAACCTACTAGAGCAGCCTGTACCTATTTCACAGACTCATCTAGCTTAGACCCTTGTAGATATTTGTACAACTCTAGTTCCTATTATAGCTCTCTACCAGTTTTCTGTGTCTATCTTCTCAGATATTTTATGAGGCAGATTCTTCTAATCTAGTTAGCTACCAAGCCAAGTTGGTGTTACTGATTCTCTCTGTAGAATAGATTTATGTATATCTGACTCAATCTGCATCTTTTGACAATAGTTTCTATTCTGAATTAAGTATTAGCTGATGTGACCATCAAAAGCTGTACTACTTCACTAACTCAGGATTTCTACCATGCAGGTCCCCTGCCTATAGATCCTATCAAGATTTATTTGTGTAATATTATGCACTTTATTACACTTTCAATATCTGAATGATATTAGTGCAATGTGATTTACAGGGTTACAACCCCCAGATATGAACAGGGTAATTATTCAAATTCATCGACAGTGGGATTTAAACCCTAGACCTCTTGCATGGCAGTCTGGCAATCTAACCACTATACTAAAATCATCAAACAGAGCTTTGTATACTTATAATATGGGAGTGAGTCAATAGAAACATATCAAATTTTTTTTAAGTAAATTTTTTTGAAATTTTAAACTCAAATAACTTAGCAAGAACTTAACTATATTTAATAATTTTTTTTTTAAATTAATTCAAAAATCTTATAGAATTTATTTAAAAAAAATTTTATTAAATTTGAATAATTTCTTGTCAAGTTATCTTTGTTTTAAGTTGCAAAAATATTTCACTAAAAAAGATTTAGTGTATTTCTATTAACTCATCCCCATATGTTAAGTAATATATATCTTAAAAAAATCTAAATTATATAGTAAATAGATCTACAAACAAGTTAGCTAGCTTAAGTAATCAGATATAGTAGTAATGTTAATTTGATATAGAGAATAAGTTAATAATCAGAGTATTTAAATAGATAACTTATAAGTAGATTAGATAGGTTGCAGATATAGTAACATAGTATAAAACCAAACAGATAGTCTAATATTTGTATAGTGAACTACTTAAATTAGACAATAATTAAAGTTGTATATTTAGCTTGTTATACACTCATCATATAATTATAAATTTTAGAAAATTACTATATACATAACTCCATAATAACAAATTAATAAAATTTAATCAGCTAAGAAAACAGCCTTAATAACAAAAAAAAATAAATATCTTATTTTAAAAAAATATTTTTTTTAATAAACAAAATTAAATAAATTTTTTTTATAAATTTATATATGAAATTAAGATATATCAAATTATTTGATCTATAATAATAATATTCAAGAAGAAATATCTTATATCTATTATTATTATTATTAAACAATTAACTTTTATTTTTTATACTATAATAAATAAAATTCATTATATCAGTATAATTTTATAAACTTTAAAAATGATAATTTTAATATTTTATTAGATAAAACATTTTATAAAATTATAAATTATATAAAGATTTATCTCAAACTAATATTATTATTGAAAATTTAATCTAAGAAAATTCTAATTTATTATTTGAAGAATTACAATAGCAAATTATTTTTATATAGAATGTTCTATAGAATAGGTAAGCAAACTCTACTAAACTCTACTGAATATATTAAAATATTATTGATTACTAATCATTAGTAAAGTTTGTTTCTTATATTGCCTACCTATTCTATAAAACATCTCTTACATATTAATTAAAGATTCAGATCAAGAAAATCTTATACTAATCAATAATTAATTTTATACAAGCCTTAATAATCATAAACAATTATGTGATAAAGCAGTACAACAAGTTAAAAAAAATAATCAATCTATTTGTAGTATTATAGAAATACATTATAAAACCAAATATACCTTAATTTTAAATATAAGTAATTATATAAAAAATTATTGATATTATTATTTGCAAAAATATAAAACTAAATATATGTAACTTTAAATTCTAATGATTTAGTGAAAATTCAATCTCAGATATTAACAAGCTAAAGTTAAATAGATGTTTATCATTACGGCGCGTTTATGAAATTTGTGCATTAGCCCAACATAGTAGGTGCGTCATTTATTATTATTTTCTGACTATTTCTTATTGTAAATCACATGATAAACGTCTAACCCATCTTCCCAAATATTTTATATGCTTTTTATGTGGGAAGATGGGTTAAACGTTTATCATGTGATTTACAATAAGAAATAGTCAAAAAAACAATAATGAATGACGCACCTACTATGTTGAGCTAATGCACAAATTTCATAAACGCGCCGTAATGCTTATAAAATCATATAAAAAAACCCCGAATATGATTCCTACTAAGTTGAATGCAAGTTTAGAATTTTAAATACATAGTATTCAGAAAATAAATTAGAACTACTAAGCACTAATAAATCTCTAGCACTTAATATTATTCTACTTGATACCTTTGTTTCTTTAAAAAATGCTACAGCTCAACAAAACCTAACATGTCCAATCTGAACAGTACAAGATAACAATGATGATTTATCTATTCAAGACCAAACAACCTTACAAGTGAAAAAAAAATTCAAAAAAAAGTGATACTAGTAACTGTCATTGTAGCAAAACAAACTGTAAAACTAAAGATGTTTTGCTGCAAAAACAATGCATTTTGTACTAGAAATTGTGGTTGTGTATTGAGAGGTGAATGTAATAATAATTAGCGTAGCAGTTATGATCAATACGTAACTAATTTTTAATTTTTTTTTAATTTTTTTTTCGATCATCGCTAATTTACTTTTTATATTGATACGTAATTAATTTTTTTTTTTTCGAACATCACTGATTTACTTAATTTACTTTTTATATTGCATAATTAATTTTATTTTTTTCGAATATCGCTAATTTATTTTTTTCGAATAATTAATATTTGTTTTTATCGGTATCACTCTTACCGATTGTTATATAACATATGTTGAATTGCAATTTTAAAACAACATGTGTCATTTTGATATTTACATGGATTGTGAAGTGACATATAACAATTGCGATCACTTTAGTACATACCGATATAAAAAATGATGGTAAGGACGTTTGAATTTAAACCGTTTAACGTTCTTTTTTCGGTTTTTACGCAGAGGGGAGGGGAAAAATTAAACAAACAGTAATTTTAAACGAGGTTTGAATGATCCAAACTTAGGTTCAAGTTAGCCTAAATCCGAACCGGCTCGTGTTTGTTTGTCTAGCTTTCCATCTGCCTCAAATTTTTCAGACCATATTCATATTGTTTAATTTAAAGGAGGAGAACGTTAAATGAATTTTTAATTTCAAACGGCCTAACCATTATTAAATATTAAATTTATGTTGTATCTCGTATATTTGAGAATTTGCAAGGGATAATTTGACAATTATAAAGATTTATGTAATTTATTATAAATTATGATCCTTCAAAGTTCGTGATGTTGACGTTTGTGTGATTCTTCTAAGAAAATATAAAACTCTTCACAATCAACCGCTGTCTCTAAAGCTTGCTATATAAAATGACAAAAATATTAGTATCATACATATAATGTTTAATAATAGAATTCTATGAATGACCCGGAATGCCCAAGAACGTGGCGGAATCAAATTATTTTGGATTTACAAGTATTAAAATTACAATCAATTACATTTGAAATTTTGTTCAAGATGTAATTAAGGATGCAATAGTATCCTAAAATAAACCCACACTTGGACATTCCGAGAAGATTTTATTTACAGTATATCGTTCATAAGGCACTTATAACAAATACTAACTTTAAAAGTATAAGGAAACAAACTTCCAAATAAATCCTTGAAATCAATAGTTTTTAATAAGGAGACCCAATCTGATGGCGGAATTATGCATATGCCACTTGTAACGTAACAGTCCGCATGAGAATCTAATGCATTTTGTTTTATTTCTGAACAAGTGCTCGAATCATTTTCATAAATTTGGACTAGTGATTCCTGAAGGCAAAGCTTTGTTTTGGTCACCCTAAATTATTATAAAAGAAGGAATAATATTCGAGATCAATGACATTACAATCATCTCTTCCTAAATGCAGTGTAAAGGTTATAAGAAAATCTATAAGTTCTGTTAACATGGGCCAAGCAAGTAATAGTGTCATACAATATAGTGCTTACTACTCTTATGAGCATAATGTTTATACATACCAATCTTTCCCCGAAGAACTGAATAAGTGCATGTTTTCTGTAAATTTTTCGCAATACTTAAGTCCATCGCTTAATGGGTATCCATTATTCCCGCAATGAAATTTCTTTTCTAAACAATCTGTATAAAAGTTACAAGAGCCTGGTACCGGCATACTACAATTTACAGTAATGGAATCCACTGCATATACAGGGAATTGGGTCAAAAAAATCCCAATTATGATCAAAATAATTGTAATCATTTTAGTCAAGAATAAAAACTTCGCAAACGATATAATAATAAATATTTTAACTTAAATATTTTCTTTTTAAAGGTACCTATATTCATTAATTACTTGCCTAATGATATCAGTTTCGGATAACACATGTGTAATTGTTTAACTATATTTGTTTTGATACGTATTATGATACGTCAATTAGACATAACCATACGTCTTCAAATGAAATCAGACCAAATAATGTAATATAACTTTACAGTTGTAAAATTGGAGAGTCCGGTCCTAGTATCGTCCTGGACTTGGTTCTTAAATTACATAAAAACGTGACTTTTATATAGGACTTAGATCCTCTGAATTGTATTCATTGTACAGTATATATTGTTAAAAATACATAATTCGATTGTCCTTAAAAAAGTCTGGACAATCCACGTCTGAAACCGGTCTAACTCTAGCAGTTTTTAATACACAATGCTAGACTCCTTTTATTACGGATGACGTAATGGTAAAAATCCACCAATCGAATTACCTAAGAATTTTTCATGACTTACACTTAGGGATGGATCAGTCCGGTCCAGTCAGTCATGGTCCTCGATAAGACCAGTCCATTAATGTTTTTGGTCTAGTCTCGGTCCTAAAAAAACGTTCCTTGGTCATTTAACATGCTACAATTTTATTGGCTAGCGGAGAAACTCAAATCATAATTGTGATTTGATATTTTTTAACTATTTATGAAGACTGATCCGGACTAGTCTCAAGACCGAGGACTGAATAACTGTTGGACCGGTTAAAAGACTGATCCTTATTCAGTCTTTCCAGGACCTATCCATCCCTACTTACCCTATTTCAAGGAACTAAAGGACTCGGTCCTTAAATCACATGAAAACATGTTCCTAGTATAGAATTAAATTTGACTCGATTCAAGATCTAATACGGACCTTAGTCCTACATAACTTGATATCCTTAAAATATTTGTTAAACACCATCCATTGAAAAAAGAAAGCCAGTGGATAATTATTCATTGAATGCCTAATGTGATTGTTGTCTCAGCGTCTCAACAGGCCACATATATTAAATATACCTTACGGTACTGTAATATTTTAAATATTGTGACGTCGAGCATTACGTTTTATTAGTCATTTTTATCTGATTTGGGTGGCATTATAACTCTCATAAAAGATGCAAAAATAAAGTAAATCAATTTATCATTTTTATATTATAAAAATATATTAAATTTGTTGAGTTATAACAATTTAAATTTATGAAAATGTTGTTTTACCGTACTGTTCCGAAATTAACCTTTTTATGTCAAAATAAGCACCTGTCCTCTGCTTTTCACAAAGTCATGTTTGAAATTATTAATTTTAATTAGCGCTGGGCGAAATTTCTGAAATCTGGAGAAATATAGTATATTATGACCAAAGACCTGAAATCCGAAACTGGCGAAACCTTGCGAAATGTCCGAAACCTGATGAAACGGAGTGAAGAGTCTCGGTCAAAGTTCCGTATGATTGGATGATATGAACAGGTCCCGTAACCACCCAAGAACACCACCAAGAATTAACATTTAAACCAATAGAATTTTACGCATGTATAATATTAGCAAAACAAATTTTTAAAACCTTGAGTAAAAAATCTTGACAATACTTGACAAATTCATAAAATTCAAATTAAAAAAATTCATCGAAATTTGGCCAAATAGTTGTCGACATATCTTGTTTTAAAAAAATTTAAACATTTCAAAATATTGTGCAAATTTTTTTTACTAAATTCGATGAAATTTTTTTTGCTTTTTGGATTTTGAAAATGGATTCGCCCGAAACACTACCCATGACCTAGGGATGGTAAAAAAAACGGTTTAAACGGTTTTTTAGGATTTTTAAATCATTTTAATAAAACATCGGCGACTGAGTCTGAAAATGAAAATATCATTTCTGATTGGTTATTTCAGTATCAGGATAGCATAAAAAAATATTTTTAATATCGTATAACTATTGTTACGTCAAAATGTATTAAACCGGTTAAAATCAGTTTTTTAAGATCATGTTTTTTAAATCATTTGTCATCTCCGTACACTTTTTTTGGCGAACTCGTAATATATAACTGAACCAGGCCTCGATGACCGTGTAATACCGTTACTCTAATGATGAAAAAATAATAATAAAACCAACTTAGCTTGGCTATGCTGTAGGAATCACTTCACTAATCGGGGCCTACAAAATTAAAAATCAATTAATCAGTAATAATAGGATAAAGGCAGATCGTGATGATGATAGTGATGATTATTGTACTTACTTCCCCTTGTTAGTTATAAAAGAGATGTATTTCACCCTACAAAAGAGATAAGTATTAGTGCTTGTATCTATCCCCTATAATAAATAAATAAATAAAAGTCGTTCGTTAGTAAAATAAGTGAGATTCCCTTTACACAACTTACCCGAAGCCGTCTTACCTTGCCAAATCAATCACCTCGCTTTGAGTAACGTTGTCGTCTATTCTTTTGAGTTGTTGTTGGTTGTTATCGCCTACAACACACGGAATATACTATTGCCACTGAATATGGTGCTGGAATAAAGATGTACCCAGTATCAAGACCATGTGGAATATGTATAGGGGATGGTACAAACTGGTCAGAATGGGTGAAAACTCAGGAAGTATATAGTTGATCCAGAGGGTGTTGATTGCATTATAAAACAGTAGGTCAAAAATAGATCTTCCTCAGAGACTTGAATACTCTTAATTAGTTAAAAAAAAATCGATTAATTAATAAGCATACTGTACTATTTAAGAAATTTGTAGCTGGTTCTAAACGATATATGCAACAGTTATATCAAGATGCTATGGCTACTGTAAGAGAATTTGGTAAGCCTGATCTTTTTGTAACTGTAACATGTAATCCAAATTGGCCAGAGATAACGAGAACTTTTACATGGTCAAACATCTAATGACAGACCTGATTTGAGTCGATATAATTTTACGGCTCAAAAGGGTGCTGTCATGATAGTTTAAAGTAGCTATTTTTTTTTTTTTTTTTTTTTTTTTGCTATTTTTATTTAAACATAAAGAGTCTTTAGAATTATTAAATCACTAAAACTAACTAGTGAAAAAGGAAGAAGAATAACAAGAACGAAAAGGGGACGTAGTTCTTCTAAATTGCTTAATATATAATAGTTATTCTTCGATAACATGAATAATAAGATGGGATAAATAATAGGGTGTTCTCAAGTATGAATCAGCAATTGATCGTTAAATAATACAATAGTGTAATTGACGAATTCTCACGTATCTTCCTCAGCGTGATTAATTTGTAATTGTGTTTATGTTCAAGCGTTGCAATAATTGAAATACTGATTTCGATTTATAGTTGTGCAAACACTTTTATTATTACTGTTATCTTTAAAAAAAATTATTTTTACAGAATTATAATAAAAAAACAATAAACCAACAGAAAGACAAAAAAAACCCATGACAAACAATCTGTTTCGCCTTTTTTCAGACTTCAGCTTGCATAGTTGCTACAACAAAATTATCCAAGAAATTTCAGCTTCCTGCTTTTTTTATTCGTAGCATAACGATAAGCAAGAAGGTCTGCACTGATTAAGATTGTAACGCTAATGTTAAAAGGATAAAGTGGTTGAACAACTATTTTTATAATCCATCAATGAAAATTGTTTGCAAATAAGCGCAACTCTGTGAAAAAAAAGGATGTTTGGGCCTCTATCTCTTGTTAATTGGAATGATAAATACTTTGGATCGGCTAAACGAACTTTCATTAATTAAAACTTTCTCTATAACGTATTAAACTATTATAGCCTTATATTATTCATTGGAATATTAAATACAATTGATTCGTAAAAATATTTTTTTTTTTACCATTGAAATTTACTTTCCGACTATTCCGACTGATTGACTAAAGCGCTTGAGAAATTCTGTTAAGCAGCTCGCTTATGTGGCTAAGGGCATCTAAATATTGGATCGGAGATCAGTTTTTTAACTAATGGAAAATAATTTAGTTCATCAAGCGAGCTCTTCATTGCAACGAAAAAAAAAAAGATAGTCGTTATTCAATTGATTTAATGTAAAAATTTTAATTAATTAGTTGGAATTCGAATTCATATCAATGAGGAAGTGCAGAGTTTACTCGGTTTGGCTAAAATTTAAAATCCGCAATTCGCCACTTCAATTAATGGAAATGATTGAGCAATATCTCGATCATTTTCAAATTACCCTTAATATTCGCATTTCACACTACGAATCTTCCACAAATTCATAAGGATTATTTATAATGCTTTTACACGATCTCAATTATATTGAGGAAGTTGAGAACACCTTAAATTTCGAACACTAGATTCATATCACTTGCCATATTGTGTAACATTTCTTGATCATATATATATTTTACACGTAGGAATAGAAAAAAATTTCCTATTGTTTTTTTACAGCCATACAAGTTGGATTGTTAATTTCATCTCTCGCATGGTATACATATGCCATAATGCCTCCAACTGTTGTATTTTTTGGTTGGCTGGTTTGTACCCAACTTTTTAATAATTCTGTTATTGCATCAATAACTTGTTTCCACTAATATCTAGGCTTTTCCTTTCGTTCTCTTTTCCTCGATCATAGCTCTTACATTCGGTACTATCCATTTGTGCAAGGGTAAGAATTACACTATAAACTCTACAAATTAAAAATTAGTTTTCCGTAATCTAGTAGTTTTTCGTTATCTAATATCCGTTACACAGCAATCAGGCCCTGTTCAAGAACAACGAATTTGAATTCTGGTTTGTAAATTCTTCGTATATTCTAAATAATTAAATTTCTTACATATACATATATGCAATACATTCTAACAAAGCATAAACAATTACCGCACAGAACCTTTCAAATAACCCTGAAGAGCCAGACCTTAGAAGCTATGCTAAATAGCTAGATTCAGAGAAATTGGCTAAGAATGAAGAAGACGTGAAGAAGTTTTATAGTGTGTATATAATAAATTTTATGGTAGAAATGCGACTAATCATTTTCACTTAATCACTTCGCAGAATGGGCTGGGCCTAATTTCGTTTGGCCTCCCACAATGGATTTTGGAGAACGTAGTGTAATCTTTACTTATATTGCCCCACCCCGACCCCTGGTTTGTAGAAGGAGAGGGTGAAGAACTTGCAACTAATACTCTTGCATATCATCGCTTTTTAAACTCTGGTCAGCTTGATCCATCCAAAGGTTCACATATCCTTCTTATTAATGGTCAAATTGTGCGCTATGGTGAAGAAATATCAAAACCTGAATATAATGAATTATTAGAAAAACATCCTGGAATGTTTTATGCACCAATTAAAGCAATACTGCCTATTCGTGTGCGAAGATAGATGATGTTAATAGAAAGGAATGGCAGGCAAATGTTTATATAATTTATCAAGAGTATCCTCTAAAAGTTATTAAAAAAAAAAAAAAACGTAATGCTGATTACGGTAAGTAATAAGAAAAGAATTATATTTTATTATAAATATTTAATGATTAATATAGTGATTAAATATTATCCTCATTATGTTTTTTTTGTGTAAAGATGATAAACTTTGGAGGATGCTGTATGTAAAATAATGTAAAATGAAACGTTCTACGTAGTTTGGTTGATATGGTGCTGGAATAAAAATGTTCCAAGTATCAAGGTCATGATAAATATTTATAGATGATGATATAAACTGGTCAGAATGGGTGGAAATATATTGTAGTTTGTTAATTGTGCACTAATTGGATATTACTTGTGTACTAAACAAAATCTTCTTTATAAACCAGTAGGTCAACCATATATCTTTCTCAGAAATTTAAATACTACATATATTGTAGCTTAAATGATTTTAAGAAATTTCGTAGAAGTTATTGAATTGCATAATAATACTTAGTTATTTGATAACATGAATAAAAATTTATTAAATGTTATTAAAATCGTTGTATTTATGTAATTAACTATAAAGAAATTATTTCAATAACTAGGATGGGGTAGGTAATAATTATACATTCTCTGAAATAAGTTTGTGCGATGAATGTTTCTTTTTTTTTGATTTCACTCTAAATTATAATAAACAGAAAAATTCGAATATCTATTTCAATAAAGTTTCTTTGCCCGTATGCAATTCTGCAGACAGTTTATGCTAAAATTTGTATACTTTGATGTCAATGTTTTATTTCAGAAAAATTTTACTTGTAATAATGTAAGTTCCAATTTTTTTCGTCAAAATATTCGCCATCACCTTTTACATTATTGTTATTTGTATATTACATACTAGAATAATTATATTTATTGTTAATAATAAATAAGAAAAACGTTCTAATGCTACATAATAACATGTTTCGTTTTTTTTGGGGGGGGGTACATAATAATTTGATAAATAAAATTATTAAAAGACTTGAGCAAACTAACAATCTTGATATAGTATTGTAGCAGGTATAATGTTCTTGATATAGTATTGAAGCAATTTGATTTAGATCTAAGCTTAAAAGTGTAGTTATCAGTTACTAAAGTACATTTATATTACATAAAATTAGTCTGATCAGCCATACAACGTCAATAATTAAACCGTAAAAAAAAATGCTTAAAGCCAAGTACAGTACCAAATTTGCATCTGTTCTGGCACGCCCATTAGAGCAAATGTTGATTAAATTCTAGATGGTCGCTAAAATGGCAACATATTAATAAGCTCGTTAATACCCTAAAAAATCTAGAATTATTACTTTTGTGAATCATTATCTTTAACCTGTTACTTGATTTATTCAATAATTCAATAAATAGTTTATATTTTATTTCATTAGGATGCAGACTTATTCTGACCTATAGCTATTGATCTATGTTTTTGTTCAATGAAATATTCTCTAAATGCAGTTTTTTATGTAACAATAGCCTGGTCAAGAACTTATTAGTTGGAGCTGAAGAGAGAAGTGAAAGCCTTACTCTACGAAATTTCCAAGATTTCTGGTTCTGATCGACTTATAGTAAGTAAATAGATAAAAAAAATAAAAGATAAAAAGTAATTGTAATTACAATTACTATTTTCTAAGATATCTTGAGAACTAATAATTAGATTAAGATAATTTATAACATTGTACTCGTCTAGGCTAAATTTTTAATGACCTAAATAGTAGAACCGATTATTTATAACTCTGATCAAATTTGCAGATCATTTGGCCAAGTTTAAAGTTTTTAATACCATAATCTGGCAAAATTGTCTACAAAAATTTGACTACTAGTATTTAGATCATTAAACAACTGATTACTACTATTTAGATTATTAAACAAATTACTTAGACGTTTAACGCTAATACTATTTTAAAAGGCAAATATTTATTCTTACATGGTAAACTTTAATAATATTTCTTATAATTATAATTCGTATTACATAACTAGAATTATTGGTAAAAAGGTACAGGACATCGTGATCGATGATTAATTTTATTATGAAATAAAATAATATTTAGTATAAATTTAACATAGAGAAAAACTTTCAAATGTGACTGTCTATTAATTTTGTCGCGTCTACAACTAAAATTAAAGTTTTTTGGTATATTATTTAGTAATGGAATGCCACCTAGAATCATATCCCGAAAAATAAATAAAGTGAGATGTTTAAATGATCTTGCCATTTCTTTGCCAAATTAACAACAGTTGCAATATTTCGATATCTCCAAATTCACGTTGCAGTATTTCGATGTTCAAGTCCACGTTGCAGTATTTTGATGTCTAGTTGCTATATTTCGATATTTTGTATTATGTGCACCTCCCCGCACATAACTGTCGTGACCGCTCATTAATTTTGTCACGTCCACGGATCCTCTAACTAAATTACAATTTTTTTTCAGTATATTATTTTATAACGGTGTTTTCTATGCTATTTCCGTTTGACGGCTCGTAAAGTTATGGGCCCCAACCCGCGTCATAACCGTCGTGACCGACCAACGCCTAGAGTCACGTCCGCGAAAAAAAATTTAATAAAATTGAGATATCTAAATAGTCTTACCATTCCTTTCAAAGTTCACGGTTGCAATATTTCAATATCTCCAAGTCCACATTGCAGATCCAAGTCCATAGTTGCTGTATTTCGATATTTGTATTATGTGCACCTCCCCGCACATAACTGTCGTGACCGCCCAGTAATTTTGTCACGTCCACAAATCCCCTAACTAAATTACAATTTTTTTTCAGTATATTATTTAGTAACGGTGTTTTCTATACTACTTCCGTGTAATGGTTCGTAAAGTTATGGGCCCCAACCCGCGTCATAACCGTCGTGACCGACCAACGCCTAGAGTCACGTCCGCGAAAAATTTAATAAGGATGAGATATCTAAATGGACTTACCATTTCTTCGCCAAGTTTTATTGTCTTCGTCTAAGGAAACATCAGTCAGAGTTGGTTGTTAGCGTGAGAATAATCAGAAAATTTACTCACTCTATTTGGTGACATATTTTTAGGAGAAATGCGGATGCCACTTGTAATAAATTAAAGCAACATCACATGTGCCTACGCCAAATTTAGACATTTATCATACCGGTATTTACCTAACAGAATATTTGATGATGATCCATGCAAACACAACCAATTAGAAACCCCAAATTTACTATTAATGCCCCTATAAATTTAAATATTTTTAAAATTGAGCGAGGTTATCTCGACAACCACGTGATTAAATTCGATGAAAATTTTTAAATCGAATTCTACAGTTCCAGAGAATTAAATTAAAATAAAATTTATCGAATTTGAACAGGAACGTTTTGAATATATTCTTCTTCTTCCAAACTTTGAACGAAGATATCTCAGCAACCACCTAATCAAACTCGATGAAAATTTTTTTTATTTTAATTCTGTTGTTGGGATAATATCGTATCGTTCAAAGTTTAGAAAAAAATTTGAAGCTTTTTAATTTGATAGGCAGAATGAGTTTTTTAAAAGTTTATATTTTAAAATTCAATGAAAATTTTTTTATTCAAATTCTATTGTCCCAGAGATTTAAAATTAAAAAATTTTCATCGAATTTGATTAGGTGGTTGCTGAGATATCTTCGTTTATATTTAGAAGAAAATTTGGCTTGCTTAGGCCACCCCAATTTAATTCGGTGGTTTACATTACCCTCCCTCATAGTAAAAAAAGGTTTTGGTAAATAACATAAGGGTTACGGGTCATTTCGGAAAATTTTTATATGAACGGAACATTTCGGAAAAATATTTTGGAAAAAAAATTTGAAAATTTTACTATGTAAACCTCTTTAAAACCCTCCCCTCTCTTTTGAAGTGAAGATGTAATATAAACCACCAAATTAAATTGAGGTGGCCTTATTAGCTTCAATTTTTCAAGACATTTGAGCTGTCCACTAACTTTGAGCAACAACCAGCGGATCAAATTCGATGAATTTTTATTTTATTTTAATTCTCTTAAACTGTAGAATTCGATTAAAAAAATTTCATCACATAGTTGTCGAGATATCTTCGCCTAAAATTTAAAAATATTTTAATTTTACAGGAGGTATGAATAATAAAATTGGCGTTTCTGGACATATGGGCAGAAATTTTAATGAAATTTAGGTGATAACAAAGGGATACTCATAAATACTCGAACCGTTTAGCTCAAATGATTCGAAATTGATATGGCTCAGGTTAGTTTTGGGGTATTCTAGTTAATCTTTTTGGAGCACTACTCATAAATGAGATATAAAAACTCATAAGCAACTCATAACGATAAGCGATTCATACAGTAAGCAATTTTACGATTACTAATTAAATAATCACTTTTAATTTCAATAATCACCCATGTTTTATATCTTACTAGCTTAGACTCTATTTAATCTCATCACAATTTAAATAATCACTAAAATTGCCCGTATTGTTTATCTTAAAATCCCGACAAGACAAAATTTGGCCAGAATTATAGTTAATTCGGGCCAAATATGTCAAGATTTTGTCTTGTCGGGATTTTGTCTGTATCATCGAACACCAAATAGATACATCATGGGTACTACTCCCGTAGCCAGGGTTGGCAATGGACTATCGCTATGTCCATTAAAAATAAATACCGTATATCAATGGACCAATACCGATCCATTGAACAGTTTTAACAATATATAATACTTATTTATATTTATTAATATCTATTTTATCATTTTTTTAAATGTAAAACAAATGCTTTTTTTAATCTAGTATACTACATGTTCAACATTATATAATAACAGGTAAATATAAAATTAAATCTGTATCAATATAAAAATTTATTAACTTTTTGGTTTGCAAATTATAATACCAATAGTACAAAACGAGAAATCCTATTTATTATTAATGATAAAAAATTTTTTTTTTTATATTAGAGAGGAATCATTCTTTGCATCCCAGCAATTTAATGACATCACCAACGACCTCCAATCCCCCTTTGATGGATTTATCATGAAAAATAATGGTTTGATCATTATTTTTTTGCTCGTTCCATAATTTTACAGATATTTCTGCATCCAAACATTCCTCGACTCTTAAAGACATTTTTCCGAACTGCTTAATAGGCGCGCGCAAAGGAATTCCTCCACCAG